TGTACCTACTTTATTAACGAGGGGACAGAGTTCACACAGGACAGACCCCAACACACACACACACACACACACACGGTGAATCTTTAATCCCATTTTCCTGCCCTGGGAGAACGATCACAGAACACAGACTGTAGACTGCCATTATCAAGACCTCCTACAGGGGACGCTCTCTCTCTCTCTCTCTCTCTCTCTCTCTCTCTCTTACTCACCGTCACGGTGGCCGTCTCCAAACCCAGGGACCCCCAGCTGAGGAACAGGGCCATCCAGGCCAGAACCGTCATCCTGGGGGAGTGAAGACCACAACAAAGACTGCCCGTCAGTCAGTCTTCAGTCCAGTCACGTTCTCATACTTGTGCAATAACACACAAGTCCAAGTGGTTTGTGTGTGTGTGTGTGTGTGTACTCACAGGATGAGCAGCCAGCGGGCCTGTCTGGCCAGTCCAAGCAGAATGAACAGACACACGATGAGGTTGAGGAGCAGCAGCAGCAAATACGACAGCCACCTGGAGCCAAGAGGACACGGTCAACACCTGACCATGGACCTGGACCATGACTGGACCATGACCTGACCATGACTGGACCATGACCTGACCATGACTGGACCATGACCTGACCATGGACGTGGACCATGACTGGACCATGACCTGACCATGGACTTGGACCATGACTGGACCATGACCTGACCATGACTGGACCATGACCTGACCATGGACTTGGACCATGACTGGACCATGACCTGACCATGACTGGACCATGACCTGACCATGACTGGACCATGACCTGACCATGGACTTGGACCATGACTGGACCATGACCTGACCATGACTGGACCATGACTGGACCATGGTCCAGACTGTTGGGACTGGACCACAGGACTGTCCACTCACCTGTAGTCTTCATGGACCATCAGTATGTTGGCAGCCCAGCCTGGTGAGAACGGGCTGGACAGTAGACCGCCGGTAGGCACCGCTGTAGGAGCCACAGAGGGGGGGGCAGGGGTCAGTGGAACGATGGACGCCCCACTGACCAGGCTGTCATTCTCCAGCCTGGCACCAACACTGGACTGGACCAAGGAGATGGAGGAGAGGAGGTTCACCACGTTCTCAGACAACCTGCGGCAGTTACGGGTGGAGACCACGAAGGGTTTGCTGCCGGTAAACAGCTCCTCCATTGTGGCCAGCGGCCCAGAAATGGACAGCTGCAGCCCAGAGACGGTGTCTGAAATCTGAACAGATGATGCTGAGAATTCATCAGAAGAATCTTCATCACAGAGCTGTCACAGAACTTTACCAGATCAGATCAAATCAATCTCTCTGACTGTCCCTCTGACTGTCCATCTGACTGTCCCTCTGACTGCCCCTCTGACTGTCTCTCGGACTGTCCCTCTGACTGTCCATCTGACTGTCCCTCTGACTGTCCATCTGACTGTCCCTCTGACTGCCCCTCTGACTGTCTCTCGGACTGTCCCTCTGACTGTCCATCTGACTGTCCCTCTGACTGCCCCTCTGACTGTCTCTCTGCCTGCCCTTCTGACTGTCTCTCTGACTGTCCCTCTGACTGCCCCTCTGACTGTCTCTCGGACTGTCCCTCTGACTGTCCGTCTGACTGTCCCTCGGACTGTCTCTCTGACTGTCACTCTGACTGTCCCTCTGACTGTCCATCTGACTGTCCCTCTGACTGCCCCTCTGACTGTCTCTCGGACTGTCCCTCTGACTGTCCATCTGACTGTCCCTCTGACTGCCCCTCTGACTGTCTCTCTGCCTGCCCTTCTGACTGTCTCTCTGACTGTTCCTCTGACTGTCCCTCTGACTGTCCATCTGACTGTCCCTCTGACTGCCCCTCTGACTGTCTCTCTGCCTGCCCTTCTGACTGTCTCTCTGACTGTTCCTCTGACTGTCCCTCTGACTGCCCCTCTGACTGTCTCTCGGACTGTCCCTCTGACTGTCCATCTGACTGTCCCTCTGACTGCCCCTCTGACTGTCTCTCGGACTGTCCCTCTGACTGTCCATCTGACTGTCCCTCTGACTGCCCCTCTGACTGTCTCTCGGACTGTCCCTCTGACTGTCCATCTGACTGTCCCTCTGACTGTCCATCTGACTGTCCCTCTGACTGCCCCTCTGACTGTCTCTCTGCCTGCCCTTCTGACTGTCTCTCTGACTGTCACTCTGACTGTCCCTCTGACTGCCCCTCTGACTGTCTCTCGGACTGTCCCTCTGACTGTCCATCTGACTGTCCCTCTGACTGTCCATCTGACTGTCCCTCTGACTGTCCCTCTGATTTCTGTCTCTAATTCATATTAGTGTTATATTATAATTGCATGATTCTAATTTCACACACACACACACACACACACACAGATTTCTGCGTGACCTCGTGCACTCACCAGCAGATCGATGGAAGCTAGCGTATAATTGGCCGTGAGAAGAGACGAGGTCAACTGATACATTCCATCATTAGCTTCGCTGTTGCCATAGAAACCGATGCCTATGGCAACGCTGCAAAAAGGATGAAAGACACAGAATCATCATGGGTGAGGGAGAGAGGGGGGAGAGGGGGGAGAGAGGGGGGGGAGAACATGAAAAAAAAACAATGTTTAATTCAGTGTGTGTGTGTGTGTGTGTGTGTGTGTGTGAACGGGGGAGGCGGACCATGGAGAAGCTAACTGAGCTCCTGTTGAAATATTCAGATGAAGGCCAGATGTTCCTCACACCCCTCTGACTGCAGAGTAATGGTACGGTCCAATCCCCACGAAGTATGTGACCCAGATTAAGGATGTGTGTGTGTGTATGTGTGTGTGTGTGTGTGTGTGTGCTTTGCATAACAAGCTGGCAAACGTGAAGTGACTGTAGGTCTGACACTGCTGCCAACATCCCCCCCCCCCCCCAGATGAAAACACCCATGAGTCACATGACAAGTGAGACACCCTCCCCCTGATGTAGCAGCCAACAGTCAGTACTGTGTACGATGACATCATCAGAACAGCTGAAACACAACTGGCACTGGGCTGGGATTGGTCAACAGGGCACCTGGGCCGAGTGACCGCCCCCTACGCTCAACAACAGGTATGGTCGGGTCTACGGTCACCAGAACTGTAGAGGTTAAATGGCTACTTAGGCTGGTCAAAGGTCGGCTCCTGATGAAGATGAAGATGAAGATGGAGTGACTGACAGTCTGTGATTCCTACTGACTGTTGTTGATGATACAGTCTGTGTTAGCATCTTTGTTAGCGTCTGTGTTAGCTGAAACCGGCTCCTCACCAGCACAGTGTGACAGCCGCCACAGCCACCCAGGTGACACAGCAGATGCCCCTCCCCTTCTTCCCGGCATATCCGTGACCCGTGCTGCCGTCTTCGTCGTCCTCGTCCTCCTCTGACCCCTCGCCCCGGTCACCACGGTGGCAGCAGCAGTAGTGTATGAGGAAGGACAACACCACCAGCAGTGAGATCACGAGAGCGACGGCAGACAGACTGGACAGAACCAGCAGAGTCTGGAAAGATGGGGAGAGGAAGAGGAGGGTCTTCACCCACTGATCCACGTATGACATCACATCAACATCACAGTCACACGCTGGAAAATAAGAAATCACTTTTGATTTGTTACTTCTTTGCAAATGTATTTTCTTCTGACTTTATCACAACAAACCTCCACAGAGGAACTCCTGAGGGATGAATACGGTTCTTCCATCCATCCATCATCCCTCCATCATCCATCATCCATCATCCATCCATCTATACACCCACCATCCATCCATCATCCATCCATCTATCCATCCATCATCCATCCATCTATGCATCCATCCACATCATCATTAGTAATAACATTAATAACAATAATAATAATATAATAACATCCATGATGTCGTTGAAAACAGCAGGAACACACACACACACACACACACACACATGAACCAGTTCTCTAAGAGCAGACGGACTCATCTGATCCACACACTCATACACACTCTGACATATATGATTATATATATGTGAATGTGTTTAATCCACATCAGATGATGATTTCCCTCCCACACACATCTGTCACTGCTCCTCCTCCTCCTCCTCCTCCTCCTCCTCGTCCTCCTCCTCCTCCTCTCTGAGGCCCCTCCCCCTCACACTCCTTCTGTCCTCGTCTCCTCTCTCCTCCTCTGGGTCTGCTCCACTGAATCCCATAATAATCAGTGGGAGGGTGAAATGGAGAGAAGCTGCAGAGTTCTGCTGTTCTGACTAGGACCAGGCTGGGGGGGTTGGGGGGGGGGTTAGAACCTGATCAGGGTCAGCAGGTCAGGTCGTGACCTTTAGTATTTATTACTCCATCAACCTGAACATCTTCCTCTTCCTTGAACTATGGTTAACCAATCAGACGCTGCTGCTGCTCTGCACACCCCCAGACTGTCTCCACATCTACACCACAACCTGACTGACACCCACGTCCAACCGTCCAACCGTCCAACTGTCCAACTGTCCTCATGAAGACCAGCCAGCCTCATCCTGGATCAGTTAGGAAGGAAGAGAGAGTGGGGGGACTCGAACCTGAAACCTTCCAGACTCAAGTCCGGGTCCTTAACGGTCATATAATTTGGCCTCATCTGAGGCTGCAGTGCCTTACTCACAGGAGCCCCCTGGTGGTCACAGCTTCATGTTGCGTTGATTACCTGCTGATACTCCCAGCTGTCAGGGACGAAGGTGTTGTCCCTCATCTGGAGGCTGAGGTCCAGCCGGGGGATGGAGTGACACAGTCTTACCCACAGTGAGGCAGTGTAGCTGGGCACCGTTGCCATGGCGGCCATTTTGTCCTGCACAAGACACGTGAAAGATAATATCCTTAAGATTTGTGTGTAATTACTAATTTAGTCCTTTGGTTGGGGGGGGGGGGGGGGGGGGGGTGGGGGTTCTAGTGACAAACTGCTTCAAACAGACCAGACCACCGTACAAACATAAATATAAGTACATGTACGAATGAGGGACAAATGAAGACCACTGTGACCGTCCACAGGACAAAGACTGAGACTGCCTGGCTTCACAAG